TAGACATGCTACTCCAAACGAGACCTCACCAGTGCTAAATAGAGTGTGTGGACCATTTACTTTAATTTGCAAATGACACTTCTATTAAAATAACCCAGTGTGCTCTTGGCTTTTTTGCAACAATTTCATTCTACAAATTTATTCTAATATTATAAAAGTCTTAGTCTGTCTGTCTGTTCATAATGCTTTATTTGCACTCTGATTGGTTTTCTTGGCAGCCAATCACAATGTTGAGTGAAACAACCAATCAGAGTGCTCCAAGAGTGCTCTGGGCAGGATGTGGTGGCAGCGGTGCAGTGGAGCGCCACCATGATGGTGGGGACAGAGTAGGAGGGTGTGGCCAGCAGCACTGGCCTTGCCCTCCCCCCCCAGCCCTGCTCCCTAGAGGAGGTGGTAGCATGGGGTGCTGGCCAAGGGGGATGAAGGGCAGCATGGTGAAGCAAGCTTTCCCTCCCCCCCAGCTCCTGTGAGGTGGCAGTAGTTTGGGGTGGTGGTGCTTTACCTTTCCCACCTGCCTACCCCCAGTGATTCCTGACTGGCAATTGGGTAGTCATTAATAAAGATATTACTGGACCCAGGACAGAACCCTGGGGACGCCACTTAGTAACTCCTTCCAACTAGACATCAAGCCACTAATAAATACTTATTGAGTACAATGATCCAATGAGTTATATATCCACCTTGCAGTGGTTTCATCTAGTCTGTATTTCCTTAGTCTGTTATTGAGAATGTCATGAGTGACAATGTCAAAAGCCTTGCTCAAGTAAAGGTATATCTGTTGTTCTTCCCATCCACAGAGCCTGTCACCTTGTCATAGAAGGATATCAAATTTGTCAGGCATAACTATTTCTTCATGAATTCATGCTTGCTGTTTCTGATCAACTTATTCTCTGCCAGGTGCATAGAAATGACTCCTCCATGATGTGTTCCATAATCTTTCCTGGTATTGAAGTCAAACTGACCAGATCTTCTTTCTCCTTTTTCTTAAAGATAGGTACAAAACTTGCCCTATTACAGTCATCTGGGACTTTATCCAACCTCTACAAGTTCTAAAAGATGGGAGCCAATGGCTCCAAAATTACCTCATCCAATTTCTTCAGGACATCAAGGGCCAACCTATTTTATAATAGCATGTGAACATGTAATTAAAGACCCATTTGCACAGAAAAGCATAATTAAAGCTGTACAAGCTACCTTCATTCTTATATTTCCTAACTTTTGAGTGCTTGGCTTTGCAATCTCACTATTCTTTGAACATATGTTTTTGTAAGCAATTTCCCAGTCTTTTAAAAAAGTAAACTGAAAAAATGAAATTCCCTTATGTGGTATTACGTGGACCCCTAAATGTATCATCTGCAGAAACAAAATCTTTCAATCTGCAGCACAGACTGCCACCTGTGCTAAGCAAGTAACTGATGCCAGTAATGGGTTGTTATCTTTGGTGTGGATAAGACACAGTTTAGCAGTGGCTTTCACTGCTATTTGTTGGCAACTAAGTATGGTGATTATGATGGCTAGTACCAGGCCATCTCTAACCTCTTTTTGAGATATCTGTACCCTGGCATTCTTTTATCTTAAAAAACCTTGGTTACCAACAAGACACCACTGACGTCTAGAAGGGCTAGGAAAAGATACTAATGAATCAGGATCCTCCAGGCAAGTTAAGAGGGCTTGCCTGCTTTGGGTGACAAGGAATGACTGCTGGATGAATCTGGGATAGAAGAGAAGTTTGTCAGGCTGAACACAGAATCCTAGGGGAGGCCAGGGTCTGACCATCAGTCTCTGCCTTTGCGTAGGTGGTACAATCAATAGTTTCATAGTTTCAGTGAGCTACGTTTGTTTGTTTCTGTTTAAAAATCCAGAGACAGCTAAACTTTGAGTTTATTTTTAATTAAACTACCAAAGAACTAGCAAAGAGCTTGCTATGCAAGTTAGCTCTGGGTAGGCTGCCAGACCGATACTCAGGAGTTTGGGGTTCAAGTGCTATTTATGGAGGAAAATGCGCTAGCCCGGTTTCTCCTGCCATCCAGCTCCTCATCCCAGTTCTAGCCACCTGCTGTTTCTCCCAATTCGAATCTGCATTCCTATAGCCTACTTCCAGTTTTCTTACCCAGCTGGTCCTTGTCTTTGTCCCTGGACTCTGTGTCTGAGACTTCATCTTACCCTAATCAATCGCAATCCCAATCCATTCTCAGTTTCCCCTCCCAAGGTCCTCATTGCAATTTTCATTCCCAAGCTCATTGCCCAGCCAGTCCCAGTATCCACTCCTCAGGCTCCCAGTCTAAGCTAAGTCTTTCTCCGACACTCATTCCACAAACTCCATTATCTCCATCTAGCTCCCAGGCAGTCTCTTTCTCTCTCCTGCTTTGTCTTTGTCCCTACCCTCTATTGGTCTGTCCAGCCACAGTTTATCCCTAACCCTCGAGCTCTCAGTTCTAGTTCATCTAGTATACGTACTTCTTTCCAACTCCTAGTCTTTCTCACCCAATTCTTTGAATCAATCTACTCTTCTCAACTCCAAGTCAAGTTGCTTACCGCTCCGCTCTCCCACCAACCTCCTCCCTCAGGGTAATGTTACATATTACACTTAAACCATATTAAGGGGACTTAAAACATAAGCACCATCACATTAAAGCTCATTAACTCATGCTAAGTGCCCTATGAGGATCGCAAAGTTATGGCACTTCAAGTGAGGTTTAACTCTGGGTCATGCTACCTAGCCTGTGTTAAGGTAACTTCAGTTACCGCATAGAGCTAAAAAGAACAATTTGCAGTCCTCCAGATGCACCCATCCCAGCCCTCCACATCCCTGCTCCCCCCCTCAAAGGAGGGATAGAGCATCCCTGCTCACCAGCCCTGCAAGTCAGAACTGTGCAGGCAAGAATGGTATTAACTCCTTAACGTGCAACTGTTCACAACATGGGCTAACTTTAATATTGCCTAGCATTCCACAGATTTAGTATAGTCTAAGTGTAATATGTAACTTCATCCCTGTATTACCTGGGTGCCAGCAAGAGGAGCATTGATATCACAGAAGAGACAACCTTCATGCTTTGGATTCCTCTGTCTGGTGCTACAGGAATTTCTGGCAGATTGGCAAAGCAATTGCAAATGTATGTGAAAGGAATGAGCGTGTTCAGTACAAAATGAATCTTCAGAGACTTTAGCTGCCAAACTCTAACAAATGTACACTCAGCATTTGTGAAGTGAGATATTCAAAGGTTTTTTTAGTATCAGAAAATCTTAATGCCATCTCTGCCCATAAGGATGAGATATTCAGAAAAAAATAAATCTGGTGCTTTCATTTAGTCTCTTAGGACACAAAACAACCATGAAATCAAAAGGCAACATATTTATTGTCACAAAATATAACTGAGGCAAAATTTCAGTGGAAATCTATAAATATCTTATCATTTAATATGAATAATGGATGAGATTTTTCCCCCAACCCTTATCCTTGTTCTAGCCCCTTTATGAGGTAAAGAGGCCAAGACATTGTAAAAGTCAGTGAAATCTCTGGATAACACCCCCAGATCAGGATGTGAGGACAATAGCTGCAGGTAGTGCTTCTCACAAGACCGAGACCAGTGGAGCAAAAGGATACAGGGGGTCACATCTGAACAGGATGAAACAATATCTTGAGGGCATGGTGCCTGCTTCTGACAGATATTTGAAGAGTCTGTCTTTGTCCTAGAATCTGGCAACATTGTATGGCTCATCATGTCAATAGGGTGTCTTTGAACTGAATTAAATAGAATAACTAGTGCTGTAAAGCATGTCAGGCATGCAACGGCAACTATGGAGTTTCTGGGCAGCTGAAGAATGCTATGATAACTAGATAGCCAGGAGCTATTCTAGACCGTGAAGCAGAAGTGAACTGGAAGAGCACAAAGGTGGATTAACACCAACAAATGTATAAAACTCTGGTTTATGTCCTTGAGTACATCATTAACTGCTTTTGTTTAGGAAGAAACTTCCCTGATATCCATGTCATTGCAGATGTATAAGTTATGATGTCTGCATAGCTCCTTTTATTACACCGTGATACTACACTAATTAAGGAAAGAGTTAGGATTAGACAGACCATTAGTCTGATCTGTGTACCAATATTCTTATTGTATACCAAGATTATTCTTCTAAACAGGAATATCTCAGACTTCAGAACAAGCCATTTTGCATGTTCTGTTAGGAAACATTAAAAAAGTATGTTACAGACTCTTCATCACTAAATGATAACATCATCTAAACAATACTTCACTACTTAACACACCAATTGGCTACTAATGACAGACCCACAATAAATATAACATTTTGAGTAATACTAGCTATTAATAGCTTCTAATTTGATTAGTGAATTAGTCCAGGACATATTCTGATTTGCTAATTTCCTCATTATTTAGAAATATTTACTAAATATTTTGAATAAGTAAATTTCAGGGTCTGGGTTGTTTGCAAACTCTGCTTTAATTTTTGATATTCCTCATTTTTTCTGTGTGTTTGCGGACATAAATCATGTTACTGTCAATCCTGAATGGATTATGAAAAAGTTGGAAAAAGGAAAATAAAACCTGAAGACTAGATAATAAACTGTGGTGTGAACTTTAGAAGCTTTTTGTAAATCAATAACATTTTCATGAATGAAAAGCAGTAACAATTAACATCAATGTAGCAAAGAGAATGAAGTGGAGGCTGATTTTTCACTCTACTAGAGCACTTCCCCCATAGACTAAACAGGTATCAATTACTTTGCAATTAATTCTGTTAAGTAAATGATCAGCATCAGTAAACCCAGCTACTTTCAACTTTCTATCTAATTTTAATTACGCCACAACAGATGAAGTTAGCCAGAGAACAGCATGAAAAATGCATAGGCAACATTGTACATAGTGCAAAATAATGTGAAAAAAATGGTTTCACATTTTCCACATGGGTATTCTCTAAATGAATAAGAGGAAAATAATGATGTGTAAATTAAAAACGAGTGAACAGATTTTACCATGTTAACTTTTCAACCTTTGTAATGTTTACTTTGTCTATTACTAGAACATTAATGGCAAATTTGTTTGCTTACTGGAATCAAAAATTTATTGAGAATACATACAGAAAAGTAACCACACAAAGAATATACCCAATAACCTGCTCATGGAGAAAGGCTCGGGGATTTCACAATTTTGTTTTTACTATTGGGCATAATCTACAGGCAAAGCTGAACTGAAGAAAGCTATGTGAGGTCAGTGTCCCACGTATAGAAGATTTTGTTTTTCTGTCCCAATAAATCTTTGTTAAAATGTCCCTTTAAACATCTCCAACCTAAAACAGCAGAAAACAAAATTGAAAAGGAAAAGAAAGAAAAGAAAAAGATCAAATAAACATGTATTATGCATAGAGGTTATATACATTTATATCAGTTATATTTACAAGTATACCACTTAAAACATGTATAGACAGAGTCCTTTCTGAGTATAAGACTGTGTCCATTTATTTGTCAGATAAATTAAATAGTAAGTGTACAAATATACTAAAATAAAATGCAAGTAGCTGTTTGAGAAAATGTCACAAAGATAAGTAGCAGGGGATGTGTGAGAATTAATATTATAGCTAAATCTATATTGTTTTTGGAAACAATAACTGGTTTTTATATCTTTCTAAACATCTCCTCGGCCATCTGATCCAACCTGTTTGACACCGCCTGCCTGCTGCTGTCCTTCTCCTATTGCAAGTCTGGTGAATGGAATGATTTTCATGGAAGTTTTCTTTAGGGAATACCACTGATCATGCCAGGTTGCCCAGATAATACCATTATCAGTTCCAGAATCTTTCTCTGAGTACCTGCCACCTGAAATGACAGTTGCAGCAGATTATTTAACTGGTTCATGAAATAAGTTATATTCACATAACTATGTCACATAACATATCTGACAGCGATAAATTGGATTTAACATGTATCATTGGCTACATCTCTCCAGTAATCTAGGTTCCTAAAATTTATTCTATTACTCCTAACCTGTAGCCATCTTAAAACTGCTGCCTTTGTAAAAAAAATATATATATACATATATAGATATAGATATACACACATGTAAAGTAAATAAATTAAAGTATCCATGTCTGTCTTCATAATTTAAATCTGTTGTAAAAATATGAACTTAAATACATATAAAAATTAGTACCTAAAGAATATTCTACCTGGATAATATTTGCCATTGAGGTGTCCAGCATGACATCTATTCATCCACCATCCAGATCCATGCTGTTCAGCACAATTTTCTTCATACCTATCATTGTCATTGTCAGATGTACTGAACTGCATGGCATTATGGGATGTAAAAGCCTTGTCACCTGGTTGAATCCCAAACTCAACCCCATCAAAGGCATCCCCAGCATCACCACCAATATAGTAGCCATAGGTCATTCGGAACTTGTCATTTTCAGGTCCCACTTTGAACATGGCATAGTCAGCAGTCCTGTTAAAAAATAGTAGTGAAATTGTGTACAATGGATTCTCAAATCATGAACATTTAGGGAGAGGCATCAGAACTTTAGAGATCGTAACTCAATAACTCCACCTTTTAATTAAAATGATGTGTTCTTGCTTGAAGACAATGCATTACATTAATGAATCATAATGATCCTTTATATACCTGCACAACAATGGACAGCCAAAGAGAGATATTGTAGGCTGTCTCATTGGCATGTAAGTATTGCTTTGCAGTAGTGTTCAGGATGTCTGTATTAGATACATAATCAGTCAGACATTGTCTATATTGATATAAAGTGGGAGAGCAAAATACTCCTAGAGGGAAAAATGGCTTGCATCACCCAGAACCTGTCTCATTGTCTGGAGGAGAAAATTATGACAATGACAGTCTCTGATTTTCCTCATGTAGCTGTCTCAGGGGATGTTGAGGGTAGTTTGGCATTCTAATCTAGGGGAAAATGGACACAACCTAAATGTTCCATCTGGGACTGGAGAAAACTGAAGAGCAGCTTGGAGTTTTCAGGAGCATATACAGCAACCTTTTAGAGGTAGTGAGAGAAGATTCTACTGCCATCATGTTTCTAGGTATTTTTTAAAAGAAGGCAGTTCCATAAAAAGAGTAGTTTGATTAATAAATCAGACCAGTTTACTAATTTTTCTGAATTCTGTACAAACTGATTCCAGAGTGTGATCTGGGAAAGGAAGCAAATGTCTGTGATTGTTTCAGTAAAATCAGGGCAGATTATAGAGTGGATTTTAAGTTGGAAATTTTAGAAAAGTTTTGTGAAATACCTTTTTTTGCCATCCCAGTCCTCCAGTTCTATTCTTAAGGCATATGGAATAGGAGACTGAGTGGTTATTAAATGAATCTTTTCATTGCCAAGCCAGAACTCTGTTTGGTCATCTGGTGACAAGTGTCCAAATCCTTCTTTGTACTGAACCCAATTTTTGTTGAAGTCCTCACTCCCATCAAGTCTCTGGAAAAGAAATAGCCTTAACCAAAGCTTCCTATGTCTTATTTAAAGAACCAACACTATCTAATTAGGATTATTTATGACACTAATTTATAAATAACATACTCTCTGGAACACTGTCCATCCATTGCCAAGTGTGTCAATCTCACAATAGACAAGGAACTGCTCTTTAGCTTTTAGAGGTTTGATGAAGTAAAGACCACTTTTTCTGACACCTTTGTTTGCAATGTCTTGGCAATCTGCAATAAACAATATACCCATTAGCATTACTGTATTACTACAGTCTTTCTTCTTTTAAACATGGATCTAAATATATCTGATACAATAATAATTTTCTTGCATCTTTTTCATATAATGATTAGAGTGATCTTAGCCTAAATCCTTTTATTCTTATTCTCAGAAGTCTTACTGAAGTTCATGGAACATACATAGACTAAGCACAATTTTACCCCTAGTAAGAACTCAGTTGAATGTAAAATGTGATTTTTATTTTAGTTTCTGAGTTATAGCAAGGGCATTTTGTAGGCTAGTTAAAAATACATTTTTCTTGAGAGGAAGGACTGGCAGGCTGAGCAGAAATATTATAACTCTGTAAAGGCGCAGTCTTCTTCCACAAAAGTCTGTAAATGTAAGGTATACTGAGATAGTCATTTGGAGCTACATAGGGCAAAAACGTGCAAAGACCTGTCCAATAGCCACTTGCATGTAGTGCACAGATCTAGTTCTTCTATTGAATAAAACACAAGCACCATAACTAAGAATCACCTGTATGCCTCTATTTAGCTTTGCAGACTCCAGACAGAAGCACTAAAATGGCCCTCATTTCTATAATGTCTGCAGACTATGCTTAAAGTAACAATTTGTGTAAGCTGCACAAGAAACATTTTCTGTACCTTTTCCAGTTGCATCCAGTATTTGGACAGTGTCTTTGCATGGTTCCTGACATTTCACTTCAAGCTGTACAATCTTTTGTTTCAGTTGTGTGATCTTATTATTATTTAAAATATACATATCTGTCAACTGCCTGGAGATAAAATATAGCATTTGCTTATTACATCAGTTGTTTCTTATTGAAAATGATACCTTTTTCCTTGGAAACATCTTACTCATTGAACGGGCCTAAAAGGTGCTGTTTAATTTGATATTGGAACAGTCCTTTAAAGGCAAGAGACTCTTTTAAATATTTTTGGTTAAAATGTGATAACTGGCCACAGCCCTTCACTGGGGACAGTAGAGAGTTGCAGCATTCCACTAAAAGGTCAAACACTCTGCCTTCCAGATGTACCCATTTGCATGAAAAGGGGAATAGTTTGTCGCAGTCAGCATTTGGCTGGTGAATAAGATGAGGGAGCCATGATTTTATTTACTCCTCATCTCTCCATCTGCCCCCTACTTTGTAATAGTTTTAACCTGTTCTGGAGTGGGAGCAACTGGGTAAAGTCTCTGTACTGCCCTAAGCTCAAGGACATATATGCTGGGAAGCCTTTGAGCAGGCTGTACAAAAGCAGATAGGCCCCTTCCTCACTTTCATTGCCCTTCTATGCAGTTGCATAAGGGCCAGCCATGGCCTAATCCTTGGTAAATACCTGTTGGATATCCCTATATATAAACTTTTTTTCTTGAATTTTCATTTTGTTTTCTTGAATTTGTGTAGGACTGAAATGTTATTTACCCTGCCAATTGCAAAGCTTATTTTCTTGCAACTCTCTTGGTGCTTCAGTGTCCTGGGAAATATACTTTCTTACCTCTTTTGTTCTATCTGGTACTCAGTTCTACCAGGGAAGAAGCATTCTGGTCTTGATCTAACAAAATACTTAAGCACATGCCTAACCTGAACCAATTTGACCTGACAAGTCTTTCTTCTTGTGTTAAAATAGCTTGGCTGAGATAAAGTACAATTAAACATAATAGAAACCCGGTCTTTTAAGGTTTGGAGGACACTTAAACATTTCTTATGTTTGCAACTCTTCTCTCAAATATAAAAGAGTATAATCATGCAATTATAGCTTGATATCAGTTTGAAATCTCCTAGTAAAATTAGGTGACACAAATGCATTTAAAATGAAAAATTACATCAGCAGTTATAAAATCCAGACTTGTTGTATACAAACCAATTGTGAAAGGTAATATGTATATGGCTAAAGTCATTCCTGCTACAATGTTATATGTCAATGATTTGGGTTTGATATTATAGATATTAATTATAATTCATCTATTGGTAAAATGTGGGAGGCTAATTATGAGTTCAGTTTATTGAACAGTATGGACTTATGGATGACTATCATTCAGGTTAATATTTATTTGGGATTTCCAGCTCTCCAACAGAGAGCAGAATTTAGTTCATGATTAAAGAAAATTGACCAGTTGATTAAACAAGCATTTGATAAGTTCTCTGTTACAGAACAGATTCATGCTACTAAAATCTTTTAAGTTAAAAAAACTGAAAAATTTGTAACGACTTTTACTAAAATTGTTTAAAAATAATACCCAAATTCTGTCATATTTTTAGAGACTGATTTTGCATTCCATGCACAACCCATAGGACGTACAGGGAGTTTCCAAAGAATGCATGATGATGTCCTAATTGTGGTTTGCAAAGCAGTTATGAATAATACTACTATCTTATAATAATATAAGCTTACCTTTATAAGCATGGAAAAAAAACTTAATGACAGCTGATAAAAGAAAGTAAATAACTGCTGTGCATTGTTAGGTGATAGCAGAGAAAAATACCTACTGTATAACTTCTTCATTATTTATAATAGTTGCTTCATATCTTATAAATTCTTCAATTATTTTCCTGGATTTTTGAATTAAATCATCAACCAAATCTGTAGAAGCAAACATGTAGAAAATAATAATGCAATTAATTGTAAAAATAAGAAAGCTACATGAATACCTTTTTTTTCTAATTCTATCGTTCTTTTTATATTCTTACTTGGATGAACCTGTTTTTCTTCTGGGTAGATGTTGCGGATATGGTGGATCACCTGTTCTGTTACTGCAGTGCTGTTATCAATTTGCTGCAAGAGTTTTTCAATGATTTGAAGATCCCGATCCACAGAAATGTGATACTCACTCAAGAAGTCTGCAATGCCACATGTGGTTGGGCAATAGCTACCCTGTAGGGAAAAGAATAATGAAATGTGTTCATCATCATTATCAGAAACACCTAGGGCTAAGTCTACTATGAGGCAAAACAGGTCAGCCAATGCTTGGGGGAAGAAAACATCTAGTCAGGATTTAACTAGGCAACTGTGGACAAATGTTACAAATAGGAGCGTGTTTTCCCCTTTGCTGCAGCATCTGAATCTACAAGACACAGTACTCTCATACTGAATATAAGTATGTGCTATTATTAATAATTGGTTTTATAGCACATTAGAGAACAATGTGTATTTTTATAACATAATATAGTTTAATAACAAGAATTTAAAATAATGCACCTTAAAATAATTTTACAAATAATAATATGTATCAACAGTAATGTACAAGAGAAGAATCATAAGTCTACTTACAAATCGTTCATCTAAGATGCAGCAATTATCTTGGGTAGGCGGATACTGAGGGGGAGAAACAACAATGTTATTTTAAGCAATTTTTCTTCTCGTACGTTTCAACACTATTATTTTCTAATAGTAAGTTTGTAGTTTCACTTACTCCTGTGCAAGAGGAAAAGAGTAAGGACAGGAGAGGCACAGTAGCCCAGTTGTACAACATCAGTCTCATAGTGTCTATACTAATGTGTGCTCCCTGCTGGTTTGTACAGCCTGTGCCTGAAGGGACTCTATCCCTGTGAGCAGGGTAAGACTGAGACAGCCAGCTTTATGGGCCACTGGAATCTGATCTTGCTTGCTACACACCACTGGGGCTTAAGGGGCAGGTCAGGGGGTGGGAACAGCGATGCAATAGTTTGGGGTGGGGCTACTGCGTGGGAGAACAGCCTCTCAATAACTTTATGGTGGATTCCTAGAATTTGTACACCAGCATCTGCTCCTCCCTGTTTTAGCAGCAGTTTGCCATTCACCCATGCCACCCCCTTTGTATCCAGGCTGTTCTTAGGGTCTGTAGAAAGGTAAAGAGAGGCATGGAGCAACCATGTCCTGTAACACAAAAGTAAACTAATACATGCCTGAACAGTACTGAAATGGTACCTGAGATGAGTTGATTAGCTCAAGGACAAGCCGCAGTAACTCTTTAAGATGACTGGTAAATGTTAGAGATGACAATAATTTAACAAATAACAAAGAAACCTCACTCTTATCAGCAGATCTCAAAGTGCTTCAGAAGGGAGGTATCATTATCTCTATTGTACATATTGAGGAAACTGAGGCACAGGGTAGTGACACGACTTGCCTGAACTCATCCCTGGAAGACAATGACAGTAGAGAACAGGGACACTCAGCTCCATTCCCAGCTCTACTACAGATTTCCCATTTAAACATCATTTTATGTATTTGTGCCTCAGTTTTCCAAAATAATGGCAACAATGTGTCCTTTTGCAAACATCATCTCTGTTTCTCCAAGTACATCTCTCTTCTTTTTTGCCAGTCTCATCTATTTGGGTTACAGTTTCTTTGACCAAGGCTAATTTTTTACTTTGTGTTCCTAAAATGGCTAACATAATGGGGCCCTTATTTCAACTGAAGTCTCTAACAATATTTGACCAGTGAATAAATGGCAGAGAGAAGGTGGCGTATTAACTGGGAAAAGAAACACTAAGTTCTGTTACTGGCCTGCTATATACATATATTATTAAAATGGAGATAATGATGCCTACCTCCTTTGTGCTTTGAAGTCTATGGACAAAAACATAAGATAGAAGCTTGATATTATTTTTGCTATGGCCTGAAACATGAAGGTTTATGACCCCTATATTTTGTGCTCTTTAACATAATCACAGGAAAGAAAATATCTAATCTTTTTTTGTATCCTCATAAACTTTATGCTAACCAGTTGTATCTTCATAAACTCCAGCTCACAGGTTTTAGAAGGACATTGCACTATGACATAGGTGGTTGTTTCTCTTTCCCAAATATACACAGCTGAATATATATGGCTAAAAGCCAAACAGCAGTTGTGATGTATTCCCCTAATTGCTAGTATAGAAGCGGTCAGGCCAATAGCAGCTATAGCTTAAGAAGAAAAGTCATTGTTTACAGTCTCCCATAATTCTTTGCTGTTACTTTGTAAGCTCTGATGACTTACTGGAATAAGGGGGATACAGAAAACAGAGCATCCACGGCTATGGAAAGCACAGATAACAATAGACACAGATAGCAAAAGTAGTTCAATGGCTAGGCAATAAGCCTAGATACATCTTGTGAAATAACTAGATAATCTCTAGTCATAACTATATACTCTAAAACAGTGATTCTCAACCCTAGGGTGCCTTGAGATACTTTTAGGGGGCTATGGGGTGCTGCACAATGTTAGCACTGTTACGTGTGCAAACATTATTCACAAGATAAACCCAGAGTTTTTACACAGGAATCCACAGTGTTAAAAACATTCTGACCTGTTGTGATCTAAGTTCTTTGCACTAGAAGAACTGCTCTATTAGTTTTAGATTAAATATATCCTTCCCTTCTGACATTCTACCCAGCTCGCAACTCCCCCAAGAAGCCCTCCATGACAGAGAATGGGAGATATTATTTTGTCTTTCATATGTTCTAGGCATAAGTTTCAGGGTACAGAAAATATTTCAAGGGTCTGGACTGCTGATGAAAACTATTAGAGGCAAGGTTCAATGGAAGACAAGGATAGTCACAGCTATGGAAGGATTTCCATATTAGGTGAGGGATTAAATAGGTTGGGACTTTTCAGCTTGCAAAAAAGACACTTGAGACATGTTAACAGTTTACAAAATATTAAATGGTACACAGAAAGTAAATGGTGATTCATTATTTACTCTCTGTCTCTAGTACCTCTCACAATACTACAGCTAGGGGCCATAACATGAAACTCTTAGGTAGCAGGTTTAAACCTAACAAAAAGAAGTTGGTTTTCATACAGTATACATTTAAACTGTAGAACTCATTGCCACAAGATTTTGTGAAAGTTGGAAGCTTAACCTAGTTCAAAATGGGATTGGACTAGTTCTTGGAGGAAAGATCCACTAGAAGATATTGAATATGGTAGACAGTAGTGCAGCCTCTGAATCATAACTTTCAAACTTATCAATGCTGGAAGCTTCAATGGTAAAGGAGCAGGGAATGGGAAATTCTGGACATGATGTATTCACCTCCCCACTCAACATCCACCCTGCCACTGAGGGAGGCAGGATATGGGGTTAGATAAACTTTTGGTCTAATCCAATAAACAACATTTCTTTTGTGCTTATGTAAGAGTTATTACTTTAAAATATTTGTTACCTGAAAATGTTTTTCAGGATATAATGCAACACTTCTTAAGGAAGTAACTTTTAACTGCTACCCCACTAAGAAAGCATTCATTATTGTAATTTGATGCTTATAGGCGATTTGGTTGATTGAATTCAGAAACAATATGATTGTCAAAATAATTCCTACTGAAGACATTTGAAAAACAAATTTTCAGTGAAAACCTTGCATTTCCTCACAATTATACAATTAGTATATGGAGCTATACTCTATTGAGGGATGAATTTCATACTTTTTGTAGGAGTATTATATATATGGATTTTTTTAATAGTGCTATTTTGCAGCTCCCAGTTTATTCCTTAAATATTTCCAACTCATTACTTACCATATTTTGCAGCCATTTATGTAGTCATGCTATACCCCTGAATAGTTAGCTCTGTTGTATTTATGTCTCTTATACTTTTTCTCCTGAGCTGTCATTTTGTATAAACCTGGAAATGATTATTCCTCCTGGTTTTCCACTTGTTCCAGATCTGATATTGTGCATATTTAGCACAAAGGCTATTTAGTGAGTTTTCCTCCTTTACACGTCTCTTTCTGTTAGCTCTGGATATATGAAAATTGATCTGTTTACAGAATTAATATTTTCTTAGAGAATGGATGATTCATGTTTTTGGAAATCTATTTGTGCTCGAGTGTGTCCCTAAAATGACTTGGCTGTATTGATTTTTTGAGTAATTTTACCTTTCCTGTGGTTTATTTACTGATTTGCCAAGACATGATGAATGATTGATATAATGCAGATAAACAAAATATATTTTCAAATTCAGACTACCTTTTCTATGACAGCAGAGGTGAAAACTATTTTTAAAAGGTTAGCTAATTTAGTTCAAAAGATTAACAGATAAAACCAAATTCCCTCTCTCTCTCTCTCCTTATTTGTTATGTAAACATTGTTTTTTTTTCAGTAAATAAGTCCTTGAAAAGCTATCCAGCACTTTCCCATTAGCAATGTAAAAACTTTATATTTAGAAAACAAAACAAAACCAGGAAATGCAGCAATGTTTGTCAAGTAGTTACTGAAAGTGAGGACTTTTAAAAATTCTCTTGGAAAAATAAATGTTTCTACTTATTTATCTATCTTAGATTTATTAATTTGATCTCTATTCATTGCTACATTTGTCCTGTTGGAAAATGCCTATTGATGTAGGTTCCCAGCTAACATAGTAGCGAATGCTCGAAAATGGTCTTCAGAGCTGAATGTGAAGAAGCAGTGTTATTTTCTGGCTACTTTTGGGACATATTCTGATCTAAATTTCATTGATATAAATCTAGAGACCACCACTCAGGTCAACAGCATTATTTCAGATTCTTATTGTTAAAATGGATGTCAGATCCCAGCCCTTCACTGACACACCTTGCTTCTGATCTCAAGGCAGAGAAGTTTGAATAATTTATTCTTTATTTCATTGAAAATTTGAAAAATCAAAAATCAAATAAAGCAAAAATGTTTTGGGTCAGCCAAAGGCTAATATTTTTAACAATTGTGGATTAATTGAAAGCTATTCATTTTGAATCAAATGAAACTTTATTTGACAACATATGACACAAGACAATTTTGGACATTTATAACACAAGAGAAGAAAATGGATATGAAAGATTAAATTCACAAGGAGACTTAGTTGTCATTTACAAAACATAAAATGTCCTAGTAGCTATGGCAAGAGTGTGAGGTTTTAATCCTTTTTCTGCTGATTCTGGGTAGGGACTCATCTCTAGATTTTCTAACTTCTATGTGAGTGGAATGTAGGGTATTTTAGGATGGATGCCATTTTTTCCTGTAGATGCTGTTCCTTTTTTCATAAAATAAATACCTACTCAGTGGATTTAAGAAATCATATAACTCTTGTTTGGTGGTCAGAGCATGCAGATGGTATGCTCCAGTGAACAATTAATTATTTTGTTAATTATTTTGTTAAGTATTTTGTTAATTTATATGCAAGGTGGAACACCTTCTGTATTGGAAAGGCCCACCACTGAATATAACATGTGGTTAGTGCAGTTACCTGGGAGGTGAGAGATTTTAGTTTAAATCCTACCTCTGTTTCAGGCAGGTAAGTGATTTCTACCTCCTAGCTGAGAACTTTAATAAGAAAGAGGAAAATTCTGCCTCCTTCTTAGTTTGTGAGAACTAACTACAGCACTTTGTCACTGTAGAACAAATAAAAATACTTCATTTTAGACATTCCAAAATAAGCCATATTTACATTCCCAAATTCTGTTGCATTTTGTTGAATTTTTGTTTTGTTGTAATGAAATTAAATGGAATAGGTTTTGTCATCCCCAAACTAACTGTTTTGATATAACTTATTCACCAAAAAAGGTTACCTGCTTTACTACATCATCTCTGATGTCTACTGTTCCTGTTTGGAGCACTAATAATTTATAATGAAAAAAATGCATAATTTCAATTGCCAGGTTGAAAATAGGAAGGGAAATGGAAATGTCTGTGAAAAAAGTTTATGTGGCCAGACAAAAAGACAAGAAAGCTGACTAGAAAATTCCCTGCCATTTTAAGTATCGTGTAGCATTCAAATTCTAATCTTAGTGTGCTACAAAACAATTTGTTTGAATTGCTACTTGGTTTAGAAATAACCAGGGGAAAGTGAAAATGGAAAAAGAGGTTTTTGTGTCATTTCACCAATGTACACTTTCTCTTTCAATATGTAAATCTGGGGAAAGAAGTAAAGGGCAAAATTTCTTGGCCAATTCAGTAAACCATTCCCTGAAGCAGATATACCTCTTCAAACTGCCTGCAAAAAAATATGAATCTGCAAAAAAATGAACTGTCAGCTTGGTTCCAAGTGGTAATGTAAAATATTTTTATTTCTTACTAGTAAGGAATTGTTCCCTACCTTCATGTCACAAATAGAGCCATTTACTATATGATATTGGTGCTCTTCTACTCAAATTCAGGTGGGAAATTTTCATATTTCTTTAAAAAAAATTAAGAAAAGTGTGGAAGTTATTAATATAAGCATACAACTTATGTTGGGCATATTTTTGAGACATTTTATAAGGTATTTAGCTGCATTAAAGTTATAAACACTGTTACTAAAAGATACTGTAAAATCTCCTGGGACAGTATTTTTGTGTAAGTATACATGATGTATAACATAAGATAATACACTAGTCTTTCTGCAGGGTTAATATTCTTTAAAGAGATTCTCAAGGTGTAAAAAGGTTTAAAAATGTTAAAATACTATCATTTTAACTTACATATTTATTAGGAAAGAAATCATTGCAATTGGCTATGTCTTTCTGTTTTCTAAATCATTCATTTTCATAGCAAGAAATACTTCTAAGATAAGTTACTTCTTTATTGTAAGGTCTTTAATAGACTTCGTGGAGTTGAACCTAATGTGCTGTAAATTATCATAATTCTATGAGTAAGAACCTATGTAAATCATAGTGTTGTGGTTTCTGAGGAACTGAAAAATGGCAATCTCTTCAATAGTTGTGAAAAATGATATTGGCCATGATTTCCCAGGAAATCAACCAAACAATTTAATAAAGATAAAATGCTGGCTGTCTAGTGGAAGTCAGCAGCCCTTGATCCACTGCAGGCCAACTTTGCAGCCTGGCTGGGAGGGAAAGGTGGCAGCTGGCAGGGCAGCATGAAGGGTAGCAGCCAAGATGGCAGCTGCCCCCTCATGCCTCTCTGCCAATCAGGGCTCAGGGGTGGGGCTGCATGGAGGGCAGCTAGAAGTCAAGATGGCAGATGCTTCTCGTTCCTTCTTCACCTGGGGCATCTCCACCAATCAGCACCAGGGTGCAAGGCTGCCACAAAATGACTGCAAAATCAGCTCTTTGGGCCACGACCAAGCCACGAAAATTGCTTCCTCTCTCCACCAGTTAGATAGGTCCTTGTCGGGAGTAGGTCCATTATGGCCTTGTCCCTCTCCTACCCAACACATTACCAGAGTATATCATCAGTGTGAAGTCAGTGCTGCTACTGCCGATTTCCAATGTTGTGCCCTTGTCTGCCATGCCTTTGTATCTTTCAGTGTTGGGAGCTGGTTATGTTAGCTGATGGGGTTCTGGCCTTTCCCTTGGAGGACTCCTTCCTGGGGCACTGCCTTCCCTTACATCCCATCCTCACCATGTCCTGAATGTTACACATCTGGGTCATCGTGCCCTGCAATTGCATTTCAAACGCTGTGAATAGTCACCTTCTCGTAGGTTATCGGGATGACCACATATGCAGCTGTCTTAGCTGGATTATGTAAATGAATATGAAGACTTTAAACTCTGTACCCCTCTACTGGGCTGAACTCAGGTGAAAAATTCTTCCCAAAATAACTCACTAAGGATCCGTAGCTTCGTAAGTTGAAAATCAACTCATCCATTCATTCAACATACAAAACGCAATCAACCTTAATTAGTTCATTAAGGGTCCAAAGTCCAATCAGCTCAAATCAATTTGAAACTCCATAGACAAGCACTACTAACCCCATGGTGAACCTGAGCATAATTACCTCACAGGGAAGTCTCATGCCCTAAATCACATGGAAGAAGAACCATTCCTCTCCTTAAATCAATTTCAACCACTCCTGGCTTCATCCACTGGAGCAAGCAGGATTTTTTGACCAGGGTCTCCAATCACTTTGGAATTCCTTTAACCATCAAAACCACATTAGTTAATTTAGCAGATTTACCTGCAGTTCAGACCTTCCTTGCAAGGTGAGCCTTCCAGCTATGCTATTGGGAGTCCTGTCTTTCACTTCAGGGATCTGGGGTCCTTTTACCAAGTCAGCATGGCAGCTTGTTGGCATTGGCTCCAGCTTTAGTCTCCACTGCTTGAATGCCTACTTGGTCAGATAACTTGGACTTAATGGAGCTGTGCTCCTGTGTTCTTACAGTGGACCTCCAACCACTCCTGCTGGCTGTCTCACTCTTGCTGCCCATGTCTAGCCATGGGTCAATAGAGACTGGAGAGCCCTCCTGCATTTCCCTCTCTGGGAAACTATGGTCTTTCCTTCCCTGCCCCTTTCCAGGGCTAGAAGTAGCTGGTTCAGGGCTTCTATGGCCAATCTGAAGGGCTGCAGAACTACTATGGGATGCTTCCTGCACCTGCTGAATTTTCCATTGTACCTGCAGTGAATATTAGTTGATTGCAGTCTTTGGGGTTTCACCGGTGCACCGCCCTTCTCCCCTCATAGTCCCTATTTATGAGTTTTTTACTTGTCCATGATGGGCATGTAATTAGGTAGCTCCCAGGTCAGTGTGTAGCCTACCGTGAATGTATGTATGCATACATCTACACTACAGGGGTAATGAAATCACAATGTGTGCACAAGTGCCAAAAAAGTCTATTTATACAGCAGGAAAAGTGCCTTTAAGTGCACAAAGTATAAAAGAATTGTGTGCAAGGAGGCTTCACATCACTTGGGCAACAAGTGGGCATGCTACTGGTGAGTTCTTTGAAGCATTCTTCACTTCTGACCTGGGTCCATTTAATGTCACTAGTGTTCTCTGAGCTGGTTGCTTTTCCTCCAGATGCTAGTTCTTAGTCTTGCCATCCTGGCTATGGTTTTAGTTGAATATGTAGACAAACTGATGTTAATATGATGTGAAAGTGCATGTTAACTGTTTCTGTTTTAAATGAAGTATGAATGAAAAGGGATGTTACATCATCTTACAATTACTCTTCATTCTTTAAATCCCTATGTGCACTATAGGGTTCACAATGCTACAGTAATGGTTTGCTTTGCAAATCACAATTCGTATGTATGCACCCAACTAATCAAAAAGTACTAGAAGAAGGAAATGGGTTTTTACAGAAAAGATACTGTTCCATTTTTAAATTGGAAGAATGTACCTCTCAACTGTAAGTGTATTTTGTTGCTGGTTCCTTTATTGTTGGATTATTACTTAAAAACATCTAATTTTTAAAATTAAAATGTAAAGTAAAGAAATAAAATGTTTACATATGAAAATGCAATACCTTATTTTCAGTAGTAGCAATTCAGTAGAATTGGCTCATTTGGAAATCTGAAAAAATTCCTTAGATCCTTGCACATCTGATTACTGACAAGTCTTGTCAACTGGCCACATTCAGGATGGAAAAACTATATTTTGCTACATCAAAAATATCTTATAACAATATATGATGTAGTTTGTGTGTTTGCTAAATCAAGTACTCATATTTGCTAAGGATCTTGTAATGCCGCATAAGGGCATACTGCTGAGATTATATTATATGTGCCTAATACTATAATATAGGTAAAGGTTCTCACAACATAACCTTTAATGAAGCTTTGTGAGACTGTATGATATGGGCCTGATTCTCTAGTGTTTGCAAAGATTCACACAAAATAATGATTAACAGGAGCTTAGTGAGACTGTGTTGTAAGGGTCTGATTTTACAGTGTTTGTAAAGGATCTTACAACACAAGCACTTAATGCAGATTACTGAGATGGTATTGTATAGGCCTGAACCCACAGTATTTCAGTATCAGAAATCATACAGAAGTCAGGCTGGAAGGGACCTCCATAGGTCATCTAGTCTAACCACCTGCCTGAGACAGGATCATCCCTATCCAAACTATCCTATACAAATCCATAATATAATCTCTTAGTAAAACTACTGTGCACCCTGACACAACACAAGACTAATACCCTAAGCTGCCACAGGTAAAGCAAGGGAACCACAGCAGTCAATATCTTGTTTCTGTAAATGTTAATATACACTCAAGCAATTCCAGGTACAGAGAAAAACAAAATGCTAAATTTATTGAAGAAAAATGCCTCTTAATCATGAGGCTAAAGAAATGTTAGAGGCCTAGTTTTGTTCTTTATGGAACTCAGTTAGGGCCCAATCTTTTGATGGTGTAGTCAGAGCTCCATTACTTTTATTCTGATGTAGAAGAGGAGTTGACAACCTTATACAAACCACTGGTCAGAACAACCCAGCTCCACATGGGCCAGGTGGGTTTGGTGGTGTTTATCAATGGGAAAGGATTTTTGCTTGCTCCCCAGCAGTAGTGCAGGCACAGCTTCTAGACCATGGGGAATTATGCCAAGATCAGGTATCTGAAAATTGCATTTATGCTGCCACTTCTCCCCACTCCCCACAGATTCAGCAAAGGCACAGCTAGAAGCTGTCAAGCTGGAAGCTGCACCCATGATGTAGACAGGGGGTGTGGACACAGGAAAAGTCCCCTGCTGTTGCTGAATTGTTGAAACCACCTGGCTATGGGTGGGAGCTGGGAAGGCAGAAAGATATAGCAGCAACGCGGGTACAACTGAAAGCTGCTTAGCTCCAGCTCAGCTCCTTGGCTGCCTGGCCCTCCAGACCAGATCCCATGGCTCCGGGGGCTGGATTGGCCCTCAGGCCATATGTTGCCAACCCCGATTTAAAGTCTGGTCAACAGAATGGCAAAATCCATAATTCATAGTCTTAATTCTTAGGAAACAATTATTTAAATTGCATGTATTAAATGGGTACAACTCCTGTCATTCTCAATTACTATAATAATTGAATATGATTCTACAATTTAGATATCCATAAGCAAACCATAACATCCAGGTGAAGCACCACAGATATGAAAAATAAGAGCCTAAGGGTTGCATCACCATCTATGCAAGTGCATCCTAGTGCAATTAACAAGAGTTCCAGCATGAAGCAAAGCCAGCTACGTACATGACATTTTGATCTCTACTGCAGAAGAACAGATTAGGTTTAGGTGTCACTCTGTACTACAAGGACAGTACATCTTACTTAACTAAACACTGTCAATTTAAGCAGCTTGTCATACATGGGCTGTGTTCCCGTATCTGTACTCTGATAAATATAGTCACTGTTTAAACCATTCTACTCTCAGATCCGTACATTTAAAAAAAAATTGAGTCATCCCTTTATTTAGGGTGCTGATAGCATACTTCATGATAAGCTGTTGCTTGTCAGAGATTCCATACCCCCCACATCCATAGAGGTGAGGGGAAGAAACATGGAGAACTCATGTATATGAGTTCTGCTTCCCCCCTAACCTCTGATCTTGCTCATAGCCAACCCTTGCATATTGACTCTCAGGAAGCCACCAAACTGAGCTCCATGACTTCAAGGGAAGTGCGCCCCAGGGGTGATACCCTCAGTTTAGTTTTCCTTAGGCAGTGGAAACATACAAGTTTTATTATGGAGGGATTCTCTGCAGCCCCAGATGTGGGAGTAGGTTTGTTCTTAAACTGATTACTTTTGTCTAATTGTCAGTCAATCAAATAGCCCTAACAGAGTTTGGCTCCAAATGTATCCCTGGCCTTACCTGCCGCCTTCTGCTTATGACAGAACCTTGTACGTGTTTCGCTGGTGACATTTTTCAACGGTTTTTCTGCAGACTTTGTTTTGAAAATTGGACAAATCACATAGGAAAAGAATAGTTCTGTTAACAGCATTTATAATATCCTTGATAAAGATTGTTACCTTGGACAAAGGTTATAAGAATTTCTACCTGCCTAGTCCCACATTACTTCAAAACACAGCACTTCTTATATCTGAAAATGGTAACACTTACAAAAGAAACTAATGACTTAGGAATCTGAAAATTGATGGAATATAGAGTTCCTAAGTCACTTAAGCACATCTGAAAATGTTACCTTGAGTTCTCTTGGGGACCAGATGTTTAATGACTGGAAGGATTTGTTGTTATCAATAACCTGTTTTTAAAAGTCCCCTCATGCTCTTCTTTCTCACCATCTGCCAATTCATGTAACAAACAATATTAGTATTTTTCTTTAAATATGATTGAAGTTCAAAGAAATTGAGAAAATATAGCTTTAATAACAAAATAACTGTTATATAAACCAAAATGATCAATATAGTTCATGCTTACAAAAGATTGAGCATCTTATTGCTTTGTTATAGCTGAGGTTTGTCTAGGTTACTAAGCATGTAACAGTGTTGAATTTGGGTGTGTTAATGTTCCTAAACAAAACAGTCTTGAGAACAATTTCAACATTGGTATGGACTTTTTAATGTTTGGTAGCTTAGTTTTTTTTTTGTTTTAATGTGCTATATTTCAAATTCTATCTCATATTGATTTACAAAGAACATTTAGACAGTTGATTCGTTTAGAAGGGGTTAGTTCTTAGACTATCTTCAAAAGAGAGATTGCAGTGTATACTTTACCTTGAGTGGAAGAGCAGTGAACTCCATTTGTTAAACACAAATGTTCACTAATTTGCAAGGGTAAGATAAATAATAAATTCAAATATTTGCTGAATATTTTGTAATTACTTGAGGCCAGAGTCTACAATAAACTACTATTTGTTAATAACTACTGATATAGTGGTCTAAGATAGGAACAGGCTGATAGCACTAAAGGAAGACAGCAACATTTACTGCATATGATACTGAAAATTAGGTTTGTGGAACAACTTTCAGCAGTCAACAGAGATGAATGTTGCAAGCTTAACAAGAATCACAGAGAAACAAACTGAAGATGTTTTCTTATACTTTCTTCAATACGGAACACTCACTATCCTTTTTTAAAAAAAATCAAGATTTAGGTTTTCTTTTTCTGATCCAAGTGATTAGCAGATTGTTTCTAGTAGAAGGTAAATTGCTGATGGAGTTAGGTATTTTTTATACACTCCTGTTTATTTACAAAGATTATACAAAGTCCTATTTCCCTGGATGCAGAAGGAATCAAACCAGAGTAGACAGCTGCTTTGCTCACAGTTCCAGGCCTCTTTCAGCCAGTACTATACCCAAAAGCTATCATTCCCCCAAGGCTTCCATGTCTGTGCTTTGCTCATTCTCTGTGTCCTTCTGTGTTTCTGCTGCTTCTCACACACAAAAATAGATGGTTCCACCAACCAGTACCCTAGCCTTTGCTTTTGCTGCATCAGTATCCAGGAAAACTTACTGGATTCCATGACTAAGCTTCCATTGAAGCCTTGACATGTGCATGTATTTTGAATAATGGATCCTATTATTTTCCCCCTAAATTTCAAAGGAGCTAAAATTAACATAGTGATTTTAATAGTAGTAACTTAAGTAGTGATTTTTATGGAAAATAATATTTGGGTAGAATCTTCAGTGAATGACAAACCAGGGAATCATCATACATAACTGATGCTGCAATGTTGTCAGTTGTGTACAGCATTATGTAAAAATATTGCTTTAACTTCATGTATTTTAGGACATGAAGTTATTGTCTTGATGTTTCTAGATATTTCATGTTTATAAATGCCTCTATATTTCAGTTACATAGCTTTTGAAATACCAAAAGTTGAACCTGTTGGAACAGCTAGGGATTTTTACTATGATCTGTACCAATTATTCTATAGTTTCTCTATTCCGCAACAGTCAATCTGTAATTTATATACTGTAGTATTTCTTGTGAACTACTATTGCAGACAGGGTAAATTTTTTACTGATTTTCATGACAAAAGTTATTTACAAAGTTATTGCAACTACCATGGAGATTTCACTGTTTATTGTTGACTTCTGTGGGGCTCAGTCAGTGGTGGTATGAAGTACAAGCCACACGAAGATAAATACAGGAGTGGCTCTAACTGATAAAAGACTGACTCTGAAAAGATGAAAGCAAATATGAACGAGTCACTATAAACAAATCAGTGAAACCGTTTTG